TCACTAACACAGCTGCCCAGCTGTTCTTTGAACAGGTCTAGACAGGGTGTGCATTCTTCAAACATGATTTGGGAAAAGGGCTTCAGACCTCACTGATGGCAGCAATCTGGCTTCTTTCAGGCTTTCAGGTAAGTCTGCAAAAGGGGCTGCTGCTTTTACAGCCCAGTTCCCATGAATGAATGGATGCCTTAAAGCAGGAGCAGCAACAGCAGGAGCAGTTGTTTCCAGGCTCTCATGGAAGCCAAAAAAAAAAAAAGTGAATTATTAAATGAATAGAGCACTTCCTCTGAGACATTTTTGAAGTGGGTAGAGCCTTCCTATCCAGTGAAGAATAAATCCTTACCTTGCGTGATAATACTTTTTTGCAGAAGGAAGAGTTATTGTATGGTGTTGAGTGTCAATCTGCCTCTCCGCTTAAGTTTGCTTTCTGAATATGAGATTTGGCCCCATCCAGTTCACCTCCTTCTTTGCAGGAATTCTTAGCAAGAATGAGGCCAAATGGAGGGAGCTGCGCCGGTTCACCCTTTCTACCCTGAGGAACTTCGGGATGGGAAAGACGGCCATGTCCACAAGGGTGCAGAAGGAAGCTGTATGCTTGGCAGAGGAAATGGCTACCAGACAAGGTCCTCTTTGGTCCAGCTTATTCCAGAGAAAGCCAAAAGAAAAGTGGCTGCTGGGGCTGTTGTCAGAGTTGGGATGGACTCTTATACGGAAAGCGATTCAATTTGTCCTTCTCAAGGGATGCAGCGTGAAGAGAAAGGGGAACAGTATTGCACCATAGAGCTGAGAAATTCTATTTCCTTCTATTTTTTCTGGCATGGGACAACTATCAGATATCAGTTTGCAGCTGAAAGATTAGTGTTTTAAGTAAATCCCCCCTCCCATGATCTTTGATGCAATCATTACACTGATAGCATCCATAAAACTCAGCAAAGATACTTTGATTCATCCACATGCTAAGCCTACCCACAATCGGTGGCTTAACAGATATCAGTCAAGGCCTCTTGCCCCATTATGTCACAAACTCCGCCCCTTGCATGCATGCAGGCCACATCACAACTTATATACAAATGGGACAGTGCTTGTGTTCCAGTGAAGTGATGCTGTTTCCAGTGGCCTTCTGCCCCCCTTCTCCTCCCACCCCCATCTTTGCCACTGAGTGGGTTCACACATCATCATGAGAGTCTTCAGGTATTTTGGGGGGACAGAGGAAAAGTCCAGTACTGCAAATTTCATTCATCTTTTTCTCAATCTTGAGATGAAATCTGAGAAAACATATATCCTTATTGTCAGATCTTAATCATTTGGTTCTATCACCTTTGCAGGGCAGCCTTTTGACCCAAAAGGGATCTGCATTAATGCAGCTTCTAACGTGATCTGCTCTGTCATTTTTGGTAACCAATTTGATTATGGTGATCTGACTTTCCTGTGTACAGCACCTGTACACTTTTGCAAAGGAGATGGGCTATTTTCATAGTTTCTTAGGATTGGTAAGTTAGTCTTATTCTTAACCCTCCCCCAACAGCTTTTGTGAATACAAGAGGGCGACGGAGAAAATTCTGAAAAGAGGACATATAATTAAGGAATCTCCCATGTTGAGATGAGGTTAATGCTGCAACTCTACATTGTTATGAGATCATGTAGAAATAGCTAACATTACAGAATTCTGAGTAGTGGAATAGAAAATGTGAGCAGACACAAGGAAAGGGGCAGGATATTCGAGGCAGACCTATGCAAATCAGTCCCAAAATGATTCAGAAAGGAGATATTAGTGCCATAATCTGATCTGATTTAGTGCAATGAGACAGAATGAGAAAAATATTCTTTTGGAGCTAATCTAAGATGAATTTGATAAAATATGGGCCGCAAGTTAAAACAGATGAATGTGTGTTAAAGATGGTAGACAGGGTTTAATATTTTTAGATCCCCTCATTCTTTTGAATTCCATATTTATTACACAGAAGTGGATGCAATGGAAATGAATTCCCCACACCCTTCTTATTGCTAAGAGACTAATCTTTCCAAATTTATTGGAAATATAAAATTATGGCTCCAATTACTAAGTGGTTCAAAGACCTGATGTTACTTGTAACTTATGAACAAACTGTTTATTAATGTAGACTAGTATGCACAGTTACAATTAAATATGTTCATCCATGTAATGAAAGGCATGTGTGAGAAGGATCCTGGAATGGAAGATTGAGGCTATCAGGAGGGAGGGAGTGCATTCCAGGAGAGCCACAGGGCAAGCGCTTTCTCAGCCCACAGCAGGACCATGAGAAGAAGAATAATCTTAGGCTAGCCCCTCCCTAGAATCTCATGGGGTATATTCACTAGTTGCTTTAGCATAGATTTAGTCTGGTGAGATTCTATCTTTAGGGTGTAAGCTAATAAAGAACTGGACTGGACTGGACTGTCAGGTTCAGCCCAAGAAACTCAGCAGGACAATTCAGGTATAGTTCAGTTACTTTATTAGCTTACACCTACTAGACAGAATCTTGCCAAACTAACTCTAACCCCCAACAACAGCAACTAAACACTGCATTCCTTAGGGTAGTGCCAGTCTTATCCTCTTAGTTTTCACATGCTCAGGCTGCAGGCTGAGGAGATCCTTGAGATTCCTCTCTGACTCCCTATGACCTTGGACCTCCTCACTCATGTCTTCCATCACATGGACTGCCTCATTGTTGTTCTTGGGCTGGACCTGACAATCCATTACTGAAATTATTTAAAAATCCAGAATCCAGATATAGATATAGATATATAGATGTTCTTTTACTCTTTTACTCTTTTTTCTTTTTCTACTTTTTTATTATGTTTTCTTTCTTATGTTTAATTAAATAAATAAAAGAAGAAAGGGAGGGAGGAAACAAAGATTAGGGAGATCCAAATTCAAGTCTGCCCTCAGCCATGGAAGCTTATGGCCAACCACAATCAACTGGAGCTAACTTCAAGGTTGCTAGGAAAATGGAGGAGACAATGCTAGAGGAAAGGTTGGCAATAAAACTAGAGAATAAATAAATATTCAGTTAGTTGTGTCACCCATCAGCACCTTCAGATATTTGAACAATGTTCTTATTACTACCACATATTCTTACAGCATAATTACAACTATAGCTTCAGATATTTAATTGGCAGAAAAAGCTGTTTTTTAATTTTCCGAGACCAGAAATGGCAGCATGTCATACATTATACAAAAGACGTATAATCTCAGCCAGAGATTCTTATTTAGCCCTTGTATGGCATGTCAGAAGTGTACTCCTAAAAGTTGGGTGCTTAGGACACAAAACTAAATTTAATTGAATATGTGTGTGTGTGTGTCTGAAAGTAATGAAATTTCACCTTCTTGAAAATATATTGGAGAGATTTACTTCTTTTACCAATTAAGCCAAAGACAAAGCCATCTGACACTGCTTCAGAGCATGCATGATGCCTTCTGGTCCAGATATCACAGAAAAGTAGAGCTAGATGTCATCACTGCTGTATTAACATCTTTTCCAAAAACTGCACTAGGGACAAAGTCAGACAGAAGCTGCACTAGGCACAAAATCACAAACCCTGACTTCATTTCATATTTATTTATTTATTTATTTATTTCTTCAATTTATATGGCTGCCCATCTCAGGTTAATGACTCTGGGTGGCTAACAGTGAAAGACAAAAAAACCAAAAATATCACACATAAAAGAGCAGCCCAGATAAGAATAGATCCATCCATTTCAGGGTGAAATGCATCAACATTTCTTAAGGAGACACAGTAGGTGTGAGGAAACAGCTGAGCAACATTTTAGTTGTCCAACAAAGGGCCCAATGCTTAAGGATCTCCTGGTCTTTCCTTCCTGGATACGCAGGGGCAACTCTCAGTGTGACCTAAATTCCAGTGTTGTGGATTCTTTGTAACACTCTGTGTTAGAGCACTTCACAATGGACTTAACTCAGTTGCAACATAATGCCAGAATTGCTGGCAGGCTTTCACATTCTCTATGGATGCAAGGAGAAATTTCAGTGCGGTTAGATAGAAATACTGTTACTGATCAGAAGGAGAAATGTAAGCTTGTAGGTAGAGTTGAGAGAGGGGGTGACAGAGGAAGAGACTGACCCAAAGGAAGTGGCTTTCATAGCCCCCCTTTCTTAAAGTTATATATTTTAGCCAACACCTCCAGGGTTCACCTGGGCACACCACTGGATGGCTGGAACCTTCCCCAAAGAAACGGTTTGACTTCAAAAGGCATTATAGGTCAGCACTGAGGTTTTATTTAGACTGCTGATTAAAAAAAAATTGAAATGCCAAGCCAGTTGTGTTAGTAGGAATGGCATAGAAAAGGTAACAATCCATTGCACAAGAGAGAGCAAAGGGAAGACTTGTTGCCACATCGCAGAAGTTGAGAGCTGAGGAAATGAGCAAAACTTGTCATCAAGGCATGTTAGCCTTGACTCCTGGCCCTATTATCTGCAGCCTTGCTTGGCAATGCACATTAGGCAAACCCTAAACAAACAAAGCAATACTCATTTGCAGATAATGTTAGTTCATAGGCTTAATCCTTCATTGGAAAGCAGGGTGCATTTTGGAAGACGAGTATTTTGCTAGCCTTTTCACCCATCCCTTTATTCTGCTGCAATTGAAACCACTCAAGCAAATAACATTTTAAAAACATTTTAGAGTAAACTTTGGGTGGGGAGCAATCATACTGTTATTTTTGCCGCTCCCTCAGAAACTAGCAGTTTAGGACTTATCTAAATGTGATACGCCAAGTTTTGTTATAATGCCCTTAGTACAAAGATGCCTGGTTATAGCTAATAAGCTGCTAACTCCCCGTCTAGTCAGGTTTTCAGGCCACCAAGATTCATGCTATTATCAGCTATTATTGTCCGACCAATGTGATTTACTTCTTAATGAGGCTAAGTTTTGCTTTACTATATATAAAATATGTCCTACTTTGACCATGTCAACATTATAATTATTTAGTCTATTTTATTATTATGTATTATAATATATCATTATAAAATATATATTATATATTATAATGATTTTATTTGCTGACTCTGATTTTATTTACTGTCGTCTTCCTTTCTGAATTAATCAGTGATTGTAATAAAGTTGATGGACTGATTGATAACGACTATGTTGCAACTGTTCCTTCTATGCTATTTAACCCCACAATGGTGTGGTCATTTCCTTCCAAGTTGGCACTGCTCTTACCTCTTTAACCAGTCCTTTCTTATGGATTACGATCTGATCTATGAGAGCCAATGCCCTTGTCTCTTCTTCAACCTTCTGGAAAATGAAGCAGACATCCAGAGTACTAAGGAATTTGGGGGGGCAGGCAATTTGGGCCAAGTTAGTTGTCCAGCAGATGTCTGTGTAGTGGAAGGCTCCCATTTTTACAACATAGCAACCAATGTTGTAAAGGGCCATCATATACCATTCCCTTTTCCCTGTGCATTTTCCCTTCCTTATCTCTCCTACTGCCGTACATACATGGGAATTTCAGAGCCCACAAACTCCCAGATGCGTTTCCTTTCTGCTGAAAATCACCTTTCACCTTCCTCCCTGTTATGCTCCACACGCACCTCCTGTTCCCCTCCCATTCCCAATTTAGCAAACGCACCCAGCATCACACATGCTTTCCAAGAACAAAAGGAGTGCTTCCCTTGCAGTACCCCATGTTAGCTGCCACACCTACATCACAGTGTTGTGGCTGTGAGGGACAATAGTAGGAGGGAGTGCTACACATGCCAACTAAATGAAAAATGGGAGTTCCTAAATGAAAGATGGGAGATGAATAACAATAAGTGAGTACAGAATAGTTATTGCAGCTCAGCCATCAAGGAATTAAAGGTCATTTGGGTCTGGGCCTCGCAGAGGCTGAGCTCTGAGCCTTCTCCTTGCCTCACCCTCTATGTTAGTTGCCACCCTCTCTCCAGACACCCTGCAGGGCTCAGAGGCATTTATGTCCTTTAAAGCTTGTCCTCCTGGCTAGATTGTGGCAGAGAGAAGCGAGCAAGCCCATTTCCTCTGACCATGTGCAATGCTGAGTGGCCTTGCCTCCAATGATGCAATGCGAGCGAGCTGCCATCAGATCTTGGGCATCAGATCTCTCACCTCTGAAGTGCAAAGCAAGGCTGCAACTCAGCCCATGAGCTGGACTGCAGGACTTCACTGGGCCTAGGAATCATAAGCCAGAGTCTACTGGTCCAGGGAAGTTTAGAGTCAAAAATTTAGTTGGAAGGGTGATTTATCAGATCTCCTTTAAATCAAATCAAAGATCTGCACAGTCCTATTGCCCATTCTTGTTGGACAGTGCCTCCTATTCCTGCCTACAACATTGTGAACAGTTACACCATTACCCATTAGCCAAGTTCATTGAAAAATTCCTCTCTGAATTTTTGAGTATCTAAGGCTGTACAATATAATATATGTTACAGATCTATGATGCTTTCCCCAAATTAATGGATTACTTTCCTGGGAAACACACCAAGATTTTTTCTGATTCTGAAAAAGTCTGTGATTTTATCCGTGAGAAGGTGGAGTTCCAGAAGAGGACATAGGATCCTCAGAACCCCTGTGACTATATTGATTGCTTCCTTATCAAGTCAGAGAAGGTAGGTGTATTAAATGTTTTTATTTTTTGTGCAACTCCCAAATATCAGGAGTAGTCCCAACAAGAAACCAATTCTTCAACTTCTCTCTTCATTCTTGGACAACCTCTATTTGTCCAGTTTTTGATACATATTTTCTTTGTATTTGCAGTTGCTGCCACTACACTAGTTTCCCAATATTTAGTTCAATATTTTTCCCAACAAACCAAAATAAAATGTATGGCTGATATCTTTATATTCCCTCTCCCTCTCTCTCTCTCCCTCTCTCCCTCCCCCCCCCTCTCTCTTTTAGAGGTCTTCTACCGAGAAGATCAAGAATAGTTTTTTGGAATGATCATATACAAACAATTTTCATAAGAATTAGATCTCAAATGTAACCTCTAAGCTTCTATGTTTAGACAACTGAGTTTTCTGAACATACACCATCAGAACTACTTTAGCCTAGCTATGAATAATAATCATAGATAAGCCAGAGTTCTTCCTTTTTTCTCCAACAATCAGTGTGGTAAATATTCAGTTGGTGGTCAGATCATGATCTGGACTAGCTGTTTTTGCATCAGAATTAAATGCCAACAAAGACATACCACAGGACTCAAGAATTTTTCTATATATTCCAAAATTATTCTGAGTGAATTCAACTTTCTTTAGTTTGAAGAAGTATCATAAAATACCTCAGTTTCAAGTAGAATTTTCCTTCTTCTCTTTTTCCTTCCTCAGAATTCCTCAGAAGATTTTTATACCATTGAAGATCTTGTCATGTCTGTCTATGTACTCTTTTTTGCTGGGTCTACAACAACAAGCCAAACCTTGCTCTACAGCTTTCTGGCAATGGCTAAATTCCCACATATTCAAGGTACAGATATACCCATGGAAACAGCAAAGGCAATTATGAATACCATTATTAATCTCCCAATAAAGACAGAACAGTTATTGCATTTGCAGACAGCCATCCCGTGGTGCTGTGTCAAGTGGAGAAGGGAGGGATATGGAGCCACCTTTACAAGGCTGCAGTAAGGAATACTCTAGTCATTTGGTCGATAAAGTCACTTGGATTTTTTCTGAGTTAGACTCTGGCCTTGATGCAGGTCCCATTTGCTGAATCTGAGTGTGGCTTTGTTATCTGGGCAGAATTGGATCCTTTTGTCCAGAGGAATTCAGGGTTCTTGGAGCAGTGAACTTGGCTGTGTTAGACCCATGTTCCTCCTGGTTAGCTAAGGATTCTTGGGAGATGAGATGTGGTTGGGTCTCAGCAGTGGTGAATGCATCCATGAGAAATGAGATGGTCTTGCTGATGCTGTCATTCTGGATGGGGTTGGGCAGAATTGGTGTGCAACTTGGGTGTCCTCCTGGATTCATGGCTCTTGTTTGAGGAGCAAATGGCAGATGTGATCAGAAGGGCTTTTACAAATCTTTGTGTTGTGTGCCAGTTGCACCCCTTCCTGAACCAAGCAAACAATCACTCATGCTTTAGTCACCTTCTTTATGGACTACTCCAGTGTGTTCTACATGGAGCTGCCCTTAAGGAATATCCAGAAGCTGAAACTGTCAGAATGCGGCAGTGGGAGTAGTTATGGGGGTATTTTGATATGCCCATGTTATACCTTTGCTTTGCGAGCTGTACTGGCTCCCAGTAGGCTTCTGGGTACAATTCAAGGTGCTGGTTGTCACCCATAAAACCTATATGGCTTTCTCCAATTATCTCCCCATCCCATCAGATATGGCAAGAGGTGCATGCCCTGAGTCCTACTGATTAGAGAATGTCACCTTGCAGTACCCAGGAAGTGCGCTTTCTGTCACAGTAGCTGCTCTCTGGAACACCACACCACCCAACATTAGCTTAGCCCCTACCCTGTTGGCCTTTTGGAGAACCTTTAAGACCTGGCTATTTCACAAGCCATGGGTATTGGAGGGTTAGTTGAGACCAGGTGGATTGGTTGCTGGTTTCCTCAGATGCCATATTAGTTTTATTTTTCTCTTCAGTTATTGTTTGGTTTGTATGGTTTTTAAATTTTGTAAGCTTCCCAGATGCAGGAGATCAAGGCTATCAGGAAGGAGGGGGTGCATTCCAGGAGGGGAAAGGCGGCAATAGGCAACACAGCAGGGGGAGCATGGGAAGTGAATGAGGTTCAGGACAGCCACTCCCTAGAATCTCACAGGG